TCGTACAAGTACCATCGACGTAATATTAAATTTTAAAAGAGTACATGAAGTTCATAGAAAGCAAATTTAACAATAATAATACTGTAAGTACAATGTTTAATGTTTAATCGTAGTGTCGTGTCAAAAAAAGGGTTTTGTAGATAAATTTGGAAAATGTATTTGTTTATTGTCAAATTTATATTTTTACTATGGGAATAATTATATTTACTAGGAACCGTTAGCCGAGAAATTGTTGGTGCGATTATTCAAGCCGAACGATCGTTCGCGTCGATGGTCGCGCGGACGCGATCTCTTACGAATCTGGGCCGAGTGAATGTTGTTGTGAAAACTGTTATATCGTCGTTATTTTTCAAACGAGCTGCTAATAATCTCGGGAATGTCTTTCACCGTTCCAAAAACGATCCAAACATACCATTTTTATCGATTATATTATCGAGAGATAATGGTATTTAAATAAAGATGCTATTTATATATTGATCTCATTTTTCACTTATCATTTTTCAACATTATTTTTATCCAGTATATATCAACATTATATCATCGTATTATATTCTATCCAATATATATTACCATAATGTAAATAACTTTGATTTTTGTTATAAATACGATACGTAATTTTTATTATATAATTTACAATTATATATTTTTATTTATATATTTATTTATTATTTTTAATTATTATTATTATTATTATTTTTATTTATATATTTATATATTGTTTTACTTATAATTACAATTATATAATTTTTTATTTATATAATTTACAAATTACGATACGTAATTTGTAATAAATACGTTTTGTTATATACACGATCGTGTCGTTTCTTAATTAAAATATTGACTAATTTATAAAATTGATTTAATATTGAGTAATAATGTTTGACAAATTATTAAGCATATTAATTAATGAGTATATTAATATATGTTTTTGAATGATGTTTTAAATGCATTATAGATTCATACGATAAAATTGAATTGATTTACATATTAGACTTTTATACGGTTTTATTTCTTTCTTTTGCATTTACAACATTTTACGAACAACTGTTTAAATTTGTGGTAGCCAAAATTTGGTTAGGAAAGGAACAATCGGGTGTCATAGTTGGTTGTTAGTTGTGTTGTAGACGAGACGTAGAGTGGCAAGCGCGAGAAGTACCGTTTCTCAAAACGGTTGTGAACGAGCGCGACTGTAATTTGCAACGTAAACGTACAACAGTCATACATACAGTTAGTCTCGTAACAGGCGTATACGTATACACTTGTGCCAACCAAGCGTTGCTTTGCTTTGCTTTGCTTTACTTTGCCGGACGCCATAGGTCGCATGAGAAAATACCAAATCGTATCGTTGTCACCACCCCAGAACGACAGGAAGAGAAAGAGAAAGACAGGAATCAAAAAGAAAAAAAAAAGATAGAAATAGCAAAAGTAGGGAGAGGTCATTTTTATGGGACATATACTTGACAGACAAGTACATCGGGATCTACAGTGGACACCTTCTCGTGGTTTAGTTTACTACTTTCTAAATAAAACGTATAACATAAAAAATAAAAAAATAAAAAAACCTCATGTGTTATTACGTCTTTGTGGTCGATATATTATATTTGACGTAATTCCCTTATGTATTTGTTAATTAATTTTCTTAGCGGTATCCCGCATCATTATGATCGTACTCACTTGATATTTTTCTTTTCTTTTTACCTTTTTCTTACAAAAAGAAAGACACAAAACAGTTACCACCGTAGTTGTCGTGCCCGTAATAATGAGATTTCTAAACTCTAGTGGAAGATGTAGGATTTTTAAAAAATAATTTCCTTTATTTTGATAATTCATTATCATCGTTATTATCTTAATAACCGGTCGCGTATTTTATTGTTACGGTAAAATCATTAGATTAAAAAAAATAAATAAAAAGAAGAGACAGAAATACACAACTCGATTCTTTCTTTTACGTTTATTATTTTTGGTTTATTTTTGGTACGTTAAATTAGTGCGTTAAATGTTCGATAAAATACTCGGAATATTCGTAGAAGAGAGGGATGATTTTTATTGAGAATAATCGAAGCGCGGTTTTTCGTTTTATGGATTTATTTAAACGTACGGGATCATATATTTGCGTTTCTTTTTTTTATTTAAACATTACTCTTCTATTTCAATATCTAAAATATCAATATAAAGATTAAAAAACAAATTGAGCAACGGATTAAATATCAATACACTGACTTTTATTCGAAATCGTTCAGGGACTAGTAGCAAAGCTGCTGTGTAGTAGCACCGATTGATTTTCAGCATTGCCGATGGCGCCCGAACATAGCCGAGTGCTTAATAAACCGATCCCTCAGTACAGAGTTTTGTTCCAATTGAAAAGATGGAAGAGAAACAGATGGTACATAGAATATGTGTGAATGGTACTATGTAGACGATTAAAAGGTACCTTTGGAAATTGGATGGGGGTGTTCGATTTTCTCTTAAACAGTAGCTGTCTAACATTTGGCTCCTAAAACTGGGAGATTCGATGAATCATAAAAGATCATTCTTCTTTTCTTTGTTTCTTTTTTATTTAAAAAAATAGTAGTATGTAGATTGATTTAAAGTTAGCGTTGGAATTTGTACGAGGGTGCCTAATCATTAAATCATTCATCTAACATGTGGTCCAAAACTGGACTAGTAAATGAGTTGCTTTGGAAATAGGATAAGGGTGTCAGGTTTCTTTTTTTACCAGTTATGTCTAACACGTGACCAAAAAACTGGAAGAGTCGATAGAATATGAAAGATTATTTTCTTAGAACATCTGAATAGCATTATACGGATGATTTACAGGCAACTTTGGGTATTATATAAGGATGTTGTTTCTTTTTATTTTTTTATTTAAACCAACTAAATCAAACATAAAAAAATAAAAGTTTAAATAAGTAGACTACTATTCAGTTTATTTTTATCTAAAGAAAAAAGAGTAATATATAATAGCTGACATTGTTAAACTAAATTTGGTGGCATGTATTCAGATACTAGTACGACAGTAGTGTTCTAAAGGAAGGTACGGACAAGGTCTTATCGCTGTGAACAATTCTCTTTGGTCATTAGGAGAGTAGTACTATATAGTAGTATTAGTAGTAAGTGGAGAAGGAAGAATACTAGTAGTAGTAGTAGTAGGGAAGATGAGGAAAACAAGAAGGAGGGTTCGGCTTCCACTTCTGGTTGCTGGTGCTGCTGCTTCTACTTCTGATAGTGGTAGTGGTGGTGGTATGATGGTATGGTGGTAATTCCATGCTCGATTAGATGGCTGCTCGTTAAAGGGATATGCTTGAGTCTCGAAGCCACGACTATGGCCGTCCTACTCTTCAACGATTCGTCCGTAACAAAGGAGTCCGCTTCGCGAGGTTGCACTTCGTGCGAGTGAAAGAGAAACGCGACCGCGTCAAGGAAGAGTGAAAGAGGTCGAGTGCTACGAACTAAAAAGAGAAAGAGATAGAATCGAAAGAAAGAAAGAAAATAAAAAAAATGAGAAAGAAAGAGAGAGAGAGAGAGTCGTAGGGGGAACGATGCGAGTTTAGTCGGAGAAATGAAAACGGAATAGAATAGAAAGAGGGTGGTAGGAAGGATGGGAGGGTAGATTTCATACAGTGTTGAACAAAAGTATTAATACAGACTATTATTTTTTTCCTATAACCTTCTTCTCTTTGTTTAAATCTTCAAATTACGATTCTTTATTTAACCCTTTTGCGATATTTGGATTTCGAATATTGTTCGACATCCTTAACCTCGTTGGAATATGTAATTATATATCTATAGAATCAGTGATTTCATCTAACCGTGATATTTAATATTTATTAATATTATATATAGTTTTAAGTATTATCAAGTTGATTTTTTTTTATATATTTATAAAAGTGTTCTTGTTCTGACTAATTATCAAGGCTTAAAATATCTAGTTCGCAAAGGGTTAATTTTCTTAAAATATAGGGTGTGGTTTATAATTTGTGTAACACTAGGAGTTATATTAATGGAAATAAAAATTTATATTTTTATAAAATCAAAATTCTTAAGTTAAATCAGTGTATATTAAATATTATTTTAGCCATTTAATTTATGATGAATTCTGCATATATGTCGAATCTAAAATTTAAACCAGGAACTATTAAAAACAATCTCTGTTTTATTGCCCATTTATTCAATCTCCATAACTTATAATATATTCAAGCTCCAGAGACATATTTCATATAAAAAAAATAAAATAAGAAGCGAAGAATCGTACATTTTCGAGGTTTACACAAGATTTAATATAAAAAACTATACCCTGTTTCGATACTTTTGGTCTGTACTGTATATATATATATATATACATATATTCATCGGTCTATTCAATCTCCCTGTATATATATATATCTTTATCTTCACGTATTTTACTTATACAGAAAAAGGGAGAAAAACAGAGTAAGGGCCACGACTTTAAGAATAAGTGGGAAGGAAAGGGACAGAAAAGAGTAGGAGATAAGAGGGGGGGGGGAACAGGGTGATCTCGAGTAGTTTTGTGTGGAAGAAGAGAATATATATATATACATATATGTAAAAGAAAAAGAAAGAAAATAAAAGTGAAGGTGGTTGATCGTGTCTGTTGGAAAAGGAGCTTGGATATAAGGTGGTGAAAACGTGGTGAACTCGAGGAATAAAGGATAAAAAGGAGTAGTTGAAGAAGAAGACGACGACGACGAACAAGAAGAAGAAGAAGAAGAAGAA